AATCTATAAGTAAGGCAGGATGACAACTTGTACAGGGGAGAGGGTTTTTATCACCACATAATTTGCTGATTAAAAGATTGACAAATGGCCTAAGATTTTCAGTGTACCGCATGAACATAGAAAGTTTAGATAAATACCTTACAAACACAAATGGTATTAAACCAATCTGGACACCTTTATGAACCACAAGACCAAAGCAATACTTCTGAAATCTTAGAGAATGGGAAGCTCCTGTGTGACATGGTTTTGTCACAGTTAATGCTAATTTCATTCTGAATTTAGAATCCGTTGTGCCATTATTATTATGTTCACTTATCATGAAGAATGGCCATGATTTTGTATCAGATGTAGGGAAATCCTGAACCTACTGAAATCAGCGACAAAACTCCACCTTCAAGGAGGTCAGCATCTCACCCAAATGAGGAGACATTCCCTGCCTTACTGCCAAAGACTTGGTATTAGTAATTGAAAAGGATATTCAACATCACTATAGGAAACACAGCCAGATGTAGTTCAGAAACACTGAATAAGTGTATTTTCATGCATTTAATCTCATTAGGAACATCAGATGAAAGTCTGCTGAGACACAAAAAACCCCTATACAGCAGAGATCTCTAAAAGTGCTGTCTGAGAGACTCAAAGCTCTAAAGGGTTTTGCTTGCTGGGCATCGTGCAGAAATTACATTTAAATATTTGTATTTAAGATTTGGAAATTAAAGTAAATGCTTCCATCTATTTGCTTCCATTTTAGTACTTTTCCCATTATGGACCTAATGAAAACCTTTTTGAAGTACAACTGCTTGGTGAAGAAAATTAGGTCTAATAATCTAACTTCTGAATAATTTCTATTCATATTGTATAGACCCACTTAGTTTTTCATTCAGTTTGACCATCCTCATAGACATAGTAAAATCCCATCCTTATTAGAAACACAGAGAAGCTGGAATTTCATATGGGATAGGGAGCCAAATTTTTTTTTCTTTTTTTCATAATTGAGGAGGCTAATAATATCCTTGCTGGAATTTTTGTACAAAGAACACGACTGCTAAAACTGGGGTAAAGGGCTACATAATTTTCAAAGCAAAGCAAGAATATTGTTTGAACAAATGCTGCTAGCATTTGAAAAAGGTGGTATTAATTTTGTGTGTGAACTGTGATAATCCCTGACTATTTCTAAATCCTTGTAAATTGTTTCATAGGGCTTAGGAGTTATGACTCATTCACATTTTCTGACAAGCTACTGTCATGGGAGATCTAACACATAAGTAGGAAATTGGAGAGATCTGGCATATTTGAACAAGATACATCCAAAAATTGAATGCTTTACCTTGGACTAACTGGAAAATCTGCTAGCTTTGGGTTTGAAAGTTGAAGGTAATATTAAAAGTGCATTAAAAGGAATGATGAACAGTATTTGAATGGGTTTCTTTTTTACATTGTGTGGTTGAGTTGAATCCATGGATTCCTCCAGTTACTTGACTCTGGGTGTCTGCAAACAAATATTTTCATATAAATTTTCTGCTCAAATGACAACAACTATCAGTCCAAGCAGCTTGACCAATTTATCAAGCTCCATATCAAATACAGCTCCAACTGAAAATCCCTGATCTAATGACTCCTGAGAAATACATTCCCATGCAATCATAGTGAGAATTGAAAAGCAATACCATGGATTGCTTATCAGTGATTTTCACATTCTCTGTTTTTAATGTCATTTTCAGTAATCACCTTAAGATGCCGATGCTTCTGCAAAATGTGTGTGCTGACTGCAGGATGGGGTCAAGGTAGGCTGGTGTGAAACAAGAAGCAGGGAAATGAAAGGAAGTGCTCTGTTGATCTTGTGTGTAGTTGATAATCCTAAACATATTTGGTCCAAGCTCAGGGAATGCAAAAAGCCTCATGGCTGCTAATAATGCAATCTCTCCTTTACTAAGAAATCCCTCAGCTTTTATCACAACATTTTCTTTAATAGTAAATGTGGTAAATAGTACTCAGAAGCCTGAGACCCAGGTTGCACCATTCTTTTAGGAGAAGCCATTTTAAAGCACATAAGAGAACACTAAATGCCTCCTTAACTAATGTCCTCTGGCAGGGTTTGCTGTGTAGTTGAACATCTGTTCTAAAGGTTTATCTGATTATAAATTACTCCTTTCAAAATGGTAGCAATTGATTCACACTAAAATATGAGTTTGTATGCCGTTAATTGCCCGATTATAATTATCTTCCTCCAATATGGATTCATGTTGGCTTAACTGCTTTTGCTTATTTTCTATGAATTGTAGTTCTTTTTGCAGGCCTGTCTCCCAGTTATGGAGCATATAAGAAATGTGTATTAATTGCTACCATACTACTTAACTCTTATCAATATTTACTGTTGTTTTCTCTTTTTGCTGTCCCTTATTTTGGTTAAACCTTTCACATTACTCTGAAATTTCTAGTAGTCCAAATGGTTTTGCCTTATGAGCAAATGGCACATTTTTTTCTCTTTGCTGCTTAAAACATTTGTTAATGATTTGGCAAGCTGGGATAGCTTCCACATGAGGAAGTAAGGGGTGGTTTCTTCATTGCTGCTTTCCTCACCATATAATAGATAGCACTTCAAGAAATTAAAGTAGCAGTGTTGTATTTTAGGTAAGGGTTCTTGAACATATTTTAAGTACTAAGCACCCTTATCCTACACATTATCTATTCATTTTTCTTCTTTCCAGCTTGCTAATTTGAGGTACCACAAGCCTTAGAGAGGCGAGTGAGGAGGTGTCACTTCCAGGCACAAGTAAGAAAGTGCTTGCAATCTTTTCACCACATTGAATGTTACTTAACAGGAGAATGTTTGGGAGAGACCCAAAATTTCAGTCTGGCTCCGCTAGAGACACCAGCAGGTTGGGAGTGATGATGCAAACAGGTGACACCAGCACCTTTGCTGCCACGTCCAGGAAGAGGACGGTTGTGTTCCTCCTTCCTGTGCTGTACCACAGAGCTCAGCTGAGTAACTCAGGACCACGGTCTGTGGGTTTGCACCATTAAGTTGAGGGTGGTTGGTTCAAGGAGCTGAAATGGAGGCACACCAGCTCCCTTGGAGCAGACAAGGCCAAGGAACGCTCCCAGGAAGGGTTTAGCCAACAGCCTGCCGAACATGGCAGCTCCCAGCAGAGCTGGTGATCAGCAGCTGATGGCAAACTGGTGTGCATCATGTTTTCCATCAGCACAGCGGGCGCCAGCCAGGATGTTTGTCCTTCGTTCCTCTTCTTACAATGCCCTAAACCAAATGCCGAACAAATGTCAAGTAGTCAGATTATCTGGCACTCCTGAGGAACTGCTCGCTGTGCAGCTCTTCCGTCAAGGTGTAGCAAGAACATCCTCACAGCAGTGTCTGCTAAGAAAACTCTTTGGTGATGTTTCTGCTGCTTTGACATTCATTCCTCTGCGAGACCCAGACTGCACACTCAGTTGAACTGCAGTGTATTCACTCACACTGGGAGGCTGCTTTTTGGCAACCAGACTGATGCTAAAAATAAAACAACCTATGCAAAACTAACAAAAAACCTCCTTGCTAAATCCATAGTGGGAGTACGTTGCTTCAGAAAGCACTGGGTTGTCTCTGCATATGTTTTTTGGTGTCTCTTCCACAAGAAAAAGAAAGGAGGGAAGTTTAATAATGTAGTATTTTTGCAATCATCCATGCAAATCACCCCAGACAATAGCTGTGGCATGCACAAAGTATAGAACCAAGTTTGGAAACTTCTCAGAGACAGACCTCATCCTACTTATAAAAACATGTTGTTATAAGGATGCTGTTTACTGTGCGTCATACCTACAAAATAAAACTGAGAGGGATACTACTTATTTTTATTTATTTAGGGGCAATGCCTGTATTTTGTTTTCCCTGCTTTATTTTCTGTTTTTAACTGGAAACTTTGGAGATAGCCTGGCCTTCTAAAAGGGTGTTTGTGCACACACGTGTGCTTCCTGAGCCTTTGGACTTGATTTTACACAAGTAACAGTAGAGTTAGTATCGAGTGTGGGTAAAAAAGAGAGATTTGCTTACAAAACACAGCGTACTTTAAAAAGTTAATGCTTTTGGAGTTTGTTTTACCTTTGGGGTTTTGTCCTCGAGCTCTGGTCTCAAAGATTTTCTCTGCAGTTAGGATGGGTGGAAACTGATTTACACACAAAAGCCGGGGGCTCACAAACTCCCAGCAGCAGACGGGCGCGGCTCACGGGCAGCGCCCAGCCCTTCTTACGCCCAGGCCGGCGGAGAGGGCGGCGGCTCAGCCCCGGTCCCGAGGGTCCGCTCCACTCCCTGAATGGATGGAACTCCTCGGTGATGCCAGCCTGGGGGGGCTCCTGCTTAATCCTGACCCTCCAGGCTCTTTCTTCGGTGAACCTCCGACGGGTGGAAGCCTAAATAACGACGAAGGTGATGACAGTAATAATAATAATAATAAATAACCAATTAAAGGAATAACGAAGCAGCCCCTCAGCCTGGGTGTGCGGGCGGGGCGGCGGGGGGACCCCGGGGGCGCCTTTCTCTCGCCGCTGCCCGTGTCTCCTCCAAGCCCGTAAAACTGGCAGCGTTGCTCGCTGCTCGCTGCTCCGCGCCCTGGTAACGGCGGCCCCCGGCGGGCGGGAGGACGTGCGGGGCCGCCCGTCGCGGCTGTTTCCGCGTTGCCCGTCCGGGCAGGTCCCGCCCCCGCCCGCGGCCGCCCCAGCCCCAGCCCCGCGGGGAGGCTCCGGGGCCGGCGGGGGGGCGCGCCCCCAGC